AAAATGAATTTTTGTAAACAGTACTCTTTGTGTATAAAAGACATATGAATTGAAATGAAAAGAAAACTTTGGGCCCAATTTTCTATTGTTATTATGCATGCATTGTACTAGTTTCAGCAGATGTTACATCATGTATCCTAGGAACTTACTGGAAGAGACTCCGAATGAGCACTTGGCTGGGTTGAGCTTCATGTTGTACTTCCTCAAAACTATGAAGGCCTGACTGAGGTGGTTTAGGTGCTGCTTGGCTAGAAGTGACTTGACGAGTATGTCGTTGATACACACGTCCATGGTAGTCCCTAGGTGCTCTACGAACATCTTGTTGACAAGTTACTGATAGGCAGCCCCTGCATTCTTGAGTCCAAACGACATCACTTTGTAACAATAAGTGCCCCTTTCTGTGGTGAATAAAGTTTTCTCTTGGTCGTCTGGATGCATGAGTATTTGATTGTAACCCGAGAAGGTGTCCATGAAACTAAACAACTTGTGACTAGCTGTAGCGTTGACTAGCATATCGATATGTGGCAGAGGGAAAGAGTCATTGGGGCAGGCTTTGTTCAAATCCGTGAAGTTTATTCAGACTTGCCACTTCCCATTCTTCTTTCAGATGACCACCACGTTAGCTAGCCAATTAGGGTAGTGGACTTCCCGAATGAGCCCATTGTCTAGGATTTTTTCTACTTCTTTGTTGATCACTCGATTTCGCTCTGGGGTGAACTTTCTCCTTTTTTGCTTAACCAGGTGATAGTCGGGGTTGACTTGGAGTTAATGCATGATTGCGTTAGGACTGATCCTTGTCATGTCTGCAGGGGACCAAGCGAAACAGTCTCGATTTTGCTGTAAGAAATTGATCAATTGTTATCTGATTTCGAGACTCAATCTCGATCCTATCCGAGTCTTACGATTAGGATGATCATGATCAATCTGTACTTCATCTAGCTCTTCCATGGAGGGTTGGTCCGGCCGGCTGGGCAAGTCAAACTCGTCTGTAGTTACTATAAGATGTTGCATTTTCCTTTGAAGTCATTTTTGTAACATTCTCTAGAGGACTTCGGGTCCCCCCTTGATCTATCTTACTCCCCATTTAGTAGGGAATCTGATTGTTTAGTGGAAGGTTAAAGGTATAACTCTCATGTCATGGATCCAAGGCCTGCCTAGAATACATTGTAAGGTGAGAGGTAATCCATCACAAGGAAGATGGTCTGTCTGTTTACTCCACTCATGTAGACAGGTAGTGTTATTTCTCTGATAGTATACTTCTGCTCAAAGTTGAATCCGACAAGGATGGTGGGACGCTATTGATATCTGATTCGTCCAGGCCCATTGTCTTAATCACCTCTAAGAAGAGATCCTCCATCTACAAACACTCTCCATACCAAAATATTTGCTATTTGCAACAAGATAACCAAGGCGTCATGTTGCAAGGCTGCCAAGGTGGCTGGCTCATCATCTTCGAACTGCATAACTTGCTGAATGGGCTTCTGCATTAATGGATGGATAGATCAGGCTTCTGGATGATAACTTGCTCAGGCGTGCCTCTTTGCCGAGGAGTAACTGACTCTGCTTACTTCTGAACCGCCTGATATCATGTTACAGAATCCTTCCAGCTTTGGGTGGGGCGGAAGGGAGGACTAGTTTTTCTTATCTCTATTCTTTATTGTGCTTTTACCTTTGTCGGTTAATAAGTCACAAAGATGTCCTCTTTTAAGTAAGGCCACGACTTCCAATCTCAAAGCTATGTAGTCGGTTGTATTGTGTCCGTGGTTGTGATGGAATTTGCACCACTTAGTGATGTCTCTCTTGGCATCTGGTCTTAGATGGGTGGCCATTTAACTGTTGGCTCCATCCCTTTCATTATGGCGACCACTTGCGCAGGCCTGACGTTGAGGTTGTACTTAGGGACCACGAACGAAGAAGAGCTGGAAAGTCTATATGTGGGTCGGGCTGGTAGCCGATCATATGGTTTCTGGTTTTTTTTGTTGGAATCTGTGCTGGAGCTGTGTTGTTTGCTTCATATTGTCGTGCATCTAGGCGTCTTTCACTATGGTTTTGTCAGCGTTCATCGTAGGATGTATGCCTTCTCCGTTGTACCTCATCTTCTTCCCACCTTATCTGGATGATTGCTCGGGCTAAGGCCTCCTCTATTGAATTGAAACCCAACTTGGTGAGGTCTTTGTAGAGTTCCCCGTCGAGAAGCAATCCCTTTTTGAAAGCATCTACTACAGTTTCAGGATGGTAGGATAGGATTGATATCTTTTCTTTATTGAATCGGCTAACGTACTCATGAATCGGCTAACGTACTCCTAATCGGCTCTCCACTTTTTTGATAAATCTTATATAAGTTGGAAGACAGTTTTTCCAACTTCTTGCTGCTTGTAAATTGCTCAATGAACACGACGGTGAGCTGGGCTAATGAACTTATGAAGTTGTTGGGGAGGTTGGTGTACCATTGGAGGGCTGGACCTGATAAACTGGAACCAAAGCTCTTACACATGCATGCTTCCCTGAGGTCTCGAGGTATGGAGACGACGAACATCCTCTATTTGTATGAGGTAATGTGATAGTCTGGATCGGTCATTCCGTCATATGGTTTCATATTTGGGATGAAAATCTAAGGCATTTCAGCTAAGGCTATGGAGTCTAGAAAGGGTGAATCGACATAACTATGGGGAAAGCTCTTCTTGGCTGGGATAGGTACTCTGGGTATATGTCTCATCATAGCTTCCACGTTAACCAACATTTTTGCTAATATTTGTTCAAGAGGGGAGGTTGTAGATAAAAGGTCTGGGTTCACAGTTTGGGCCTGTGTGTTTCTTTCACGCGATCGGGTAGGGTGAGCCGACTCATTATGGTTGGCTTGGTGGTTACCTTGTGTTTTTTGGACTCCATTCATCCCTTAAGGGTGAGTCATCCGAAGGGTTACTATTCTGGTGTTTCCATTAGCATGGATAATTAAAGGTGTGGCTTGTGTGCCATTTGATCTGTAGGGATGAGCCAAGCCGAACGGTGTTTGGATGGGTTGGTCGATCGACCTATGAAGGTGAGCCGACCTAGATGGGTCTTGGATGTACTGTGAATTATTGAAGCCAATAGGTTGGTTTGGGTTGGTCAGGGTTGGTGAAGTCTTCTTGCCGGTGGTTTGGGACAACTAAAGTGATCCGATCATGAGTTATTGAGGGATCGACTGATAGGGTGTGTTTTTGCATGGCTAAACTTGTATCAGTGGTGGTGGGTGCCAATCCATCCGTCATGGATGACTGGAGCTGGGAAGGTTGAGGTTTAGAAGCCGAGGTTCTAGGGTCTGGGGTCGTTAGTGGTTGCATGGGGTTTATCGAGACGCAGAAGTAGTTCTCTAGTATCTGACTGTATGGGAAATCAAGAGAGTAAAACTGGTTTACCTTTTCTCGCAGGCTCTGATTTTTAGCCCGAATGTTGTTATTTTCGACTTCCAGATCTGTGACTTTGTTGGCTTCTTGTTGCATTAGCGCCGAAAGAGCCTCGACTTTGGTTGGGAGGTTTGTTGAGGCAGTGTCCGTGTTTTCGGCCATTACGTTATTCTTTGTAGACAAGGATTTTGAACGGATGTCGATTGCCAGAGGCCCCACGGTGGGCGCCAAACTGTAGATGCTAAAATCTATGGTTGCAGAAATAGGGTCTGATCCCATGAGGTTGACGCCACTGACAATGCGTTGTACCTACAAAAAGAGTAAACAAACGTGGAGCTTACTTGGACATTGGTGTGGTGTTTGCCGTAGGCACTCCGATGCTTAAGTCAGTAAGCCGAATAAAGCAATTTGGTGAGGGCAATGAAAGGAAAGGTTACCAGAGGCCAAGTTAGAGACTAGAACCACGACGTCGTAGGATAGCTCTTAAGAGTAAGAGCGTGGGTGTAGGTCAGTAACGTTGAGGCTGCATGCCCAAATAAGGAAGTGACCTCTGTTTATATAGTAGTTATAGGATCTTTGTATCCTGATAGGACTTTGAATCCTTAAGGGAGGAGGTCTCATGAATAGGAAAGATCCTGATTCACTTGACTTAATAGTAACAAGAGTCCTAATCTACCTAAGATTCGGAATCTTGGACGAATTAGGATAAAGTAAAATAGGAAACATGCTACTTACCTTGGTCTGGAAGGCTTCGCCTTAGGTGGGCCACTGGAGTCGCCCATTCTGGAAGAAAGTTGGATTTGAAGGTCACGGTTCGGCCCAAGTCATGAGCTCTGATGTTGATTCAACCGAAATTGGATCGCAAGGTTGGGCCAATGTTGTGGAACATTCATGTCTGAGCCTAATAAGGCCTCGTATGATTTTAGACCCCCACAACTATCAATTGTATTATTAAGTCATACAAAACATAAATTATTAGTACTTAACATTTAATAAAATACACTTCAAAATATCCACTATAAAATATTAAAATAAGATAAATTAATCTTTGTATTTTTTTTAACATTTCGGGATCAAGTCCTAATCGAGTCCTTGTGGTGATCCTCGCTCCTTGCCTGTTTTAGCCAATTCAAGGATGGGAATCAAATTCCCTTTTCCAGGATAGGTTAGTATCCATTAATGTTGGAAAAGTAACCCGACCCGACCAATGACAGGTTATTGATTTTGGCAGGCCGGTCCTAACCCGCCTGCCAACAAAGGCAGGCCGGGTTAGGCCCACCATTTTTTGGGGACTGGTTGGCCCGGCCCGCCAACCTACATATGGAGAAATGTTCCAGTCAAGATAATAGATTCTGTTTTTTCAAAATTTTCATGTTCATAGTAGAAAACACAATAGTTTTCACGACTATATCAAATAACGGGTTATTAGATACTTATTTTAAAAATTAAGAGAAAAAAAAATACACAATTTTCTTTTGTATCAATAAAAGAATACTTTTTTATTACTCAAATGAAAGTTTTTAAAGTATGTCAGACACATATCAAATTTGTAATTGTTTTTTTTCTCTTGTGATAGATTAATGATGGAATAATGAGAAACAGGAGTTGGAAAACTTACACAATCTGATACATATTCCAGAGAACAGAGTAGCAAGGGTAACTTTTGGTTGGGTCAAACCAAAGGTAAATCCTTTGTTCTCTGTTACCTTGACCCCCGGTGAAGACATTTGTCTGCAAAATGTATGGCTGGCCGGTTCTATTTCCCAAGAACTCAAAATCTATTTCATCATGCTCTGAGTTTTGAGAAGAAAGCTGCAATTGATGATACGCAACACAAGATTAATATAAACCACAAATGCTTTGTTTAAAAGAAGATAAAATAAAACAAAAACAAAACTTACATAAAAAGCAGTAACAGTTCCTGCAGAATCCCCAGGAACCAGTTTGATTTGCATACTGAAGTGACCAAACAAGTAAGATCCTTTGGATTGGAAGCCAGTACCTTTATTTCCAAGTTCACATTTTTCAAATGTTAAAATAAACATTAATGAACAAGTCTTCAATGAAATGACAATTACAAATTGAAGCATACCAGTGTATTTGTCAAGGAGAAGTTGAATCTCAGAGCCGCCATTGAAGTACTTAATGTGATCAAAAGCCCAAGTGCGCACATAGTTTCTGCCAAATGGGACATCCACAGGCCTTCTTGGGGGAGCTCCCATTGTTGCTGACACCATAAACGAGATGCCCAGAAGCAGAATCCAAAAGAAGGAAGCCATTTTTCCTGCAGAAACACAAAGCATTTTGACTAGTTTAGTTTCTAGAAGAGAAAAAGTAGTAGCAAAAGAAAGAAATGTATGATCTTTGCAGGGTCAAGTAGGGTTGTTAACAAGCCGAGTTTTTGGCTTAATGAGCTCGACTCGTTAAACAGAACGAAAAATCAAGCCAAGTTCGAGTCGAGCCGAGTCTTTAATTATCTTACTTAGCTTGACTCGTAAAGAGAAAAAAAAAATTCAAGCCTGGCTCGCGAGCCAGCTTAACGAGCTGAGTTAGAGCCGGCTCGCGAGCCAATAAAAGGCAAACAAATTTTTTTTAAAATTCGGCATAGATTTTCACTCACTCATTTATTACTCTCCCTTTCTTTTCTCTCTATCATTTATTACTCTCTTTCACATTTTTGCTTTCTTCTTTTCTCTCTCTCTCCAGATTCCCATGCTCACGATTTTCTCTTCTCCTTTTTTTCCCTTTCTTTACTTCTTTCTACTCACGACTCTCTTCTTCTTTTTTCCCTTTCTTTCTCCTTGTTTCCCTTGCAAGCTAGTAAAAAGCATACAAATTTTCTCTTTCTTTCCTTCTTTCTCCTTTTTTTCCTATTTTCTTTTTCTTTCNTAAGATTTTTTGCATTTCCATACTATTATCCTTAGGATTATTTCATTTTTCTTCTTGTCTAATTGCAACAATGATTTCTCTTTTAGTTAAAGCATACACGATTTGTTGCTCAATTGGATAATCGAAGAAGACATTAATATTCATTCGATTAGTGTAATGAAGTTGTCGAATCTGATCACTCAATTCTATAATGACTCTTTTATTCTCATCATACACTTCATTTGTAACTTACAATTCATTGACATTAGTGGTCCTAATTTTGCAACGCTTAAAACCATTGACAATTGTCTGTGGTTTCACATCAATTGATCATGCATCAACTATATTTACAGTTCCATCAATGACACTTATTTTTGCTGGTTCTAAGAAACGATCTTTTATCCGTTTCAAAAGTAGGCAATCGAAGCGCTGAATTGAAATCCTAATATTACTAAAATATGAATTGAAATCCTAATACTATGCTACTAAAACATGAATTATAAAATAAGAAATCAAAACTATAATTTTTGTAATTACACCTCCATTAAGTTATAACCTCCTTATAGTAATAAAATTATTTAGTCCCACCATTATGACTATGAAGAGGTTTTACTTTATATATAATTTTGTAGAAGTTAGTAAAATTATATTTCCTATTTTAATTCAAAAAGTATATTACTCAGTGACCAAGAGACGAATAAAAAAAATATATTTAAGGTTTTTTATTTTTTAACCGAGGAGATTCTAAAAAACTAAATTAATAATAAAGATTTAGAAATAAGTTAATTATAGATCTTGAAATCCATCAATAAAAATCTTTCATTATAAATTAAAACAAGGAAATAATCTTGTAATTATGGAATTTGAATCAATTATCAAGGTATTTTTAAATATTCAGGTAGCAAATTAAAAACATATGATTTCTTAACGTAAATTATATAAGTCATGAGTTAAGATTTATAAGCCAAAAGTTAAAATATATTTTCAATTATTAGATTCTAAACATGTTCTCTATTATTATATATAACATAAGTTTAATTACATCAGAAGGTACCAAACTATCACTTTTTTCTTATCGAATTATTTTTTTTTCTGTTGAAAGTATCGAACTATTTTTTTTCTTGTTGAAAGTACCAAACTATTAATTATTTCTATTGAAGGTATCGAACTTGTACACCGTCAAAAACTTTAAAGATCGACTTCTAACACAGTTAAAAATAAATGACGTGGATTTTTTTTAATTCTAAAATGTGTATGCAGAAATTTATGAGGGTTGACGCTTGCATGTAGTGCTAACGTGGGCTTTTTTAGGGCTGATATGCACATTTTCATATTAAAATTTTTTCAAATTTACGCCTTTTTGCAATTTTAATTCCACAAAAAGCACTCAAATAACCAAAACCACCCAGAACGAAAACCTGCCTCGATTAAACACTCAGCCTAATCGCATAATCAAACAATTAAGCAATTAAACCCTAAAAGTATCGATTGAAATAAAGGTGGAAAAATAACCCGCTCAGCCCGACTCGGCCCAGCCAGTGGCAAGTTAAGCAAAATGGCGGGCCGGGTTAGGCCCAGCTCGGCCCGCCAACCTTAAACCAGCAGGTTTTGGTGCGGGCCAAGCTGGGCTAGCCCGAAATTTTTTTAGCTAACTTTTCAAATATCAATAATTCAATTAAATAAATTTTTTTTTGTTAACATTTCAAATATTAATTCAATTTTAATACAATTAAATTGTAATATAAGGAAAATTAGATTTATTCATTTATCAAAAAATAAAATAAGAAATAAGAAATTACAACAATTATTGCCTCGTTAAAAACCTTACCAAGAAAAACCCAATTGGGACAAAAACTTGATAAGCAAAATAAAGTGCAATAATTGACAATTAATTTACAAATTACAAAGTTACAATTTACAAAACAACTAATTTGGAGGTTGACTAGGACCTCCCTCATCTATATTATCTATATTAAAAAATTGAAATGATTCTATTAAAGTATTGTCAACAACCTCGTATTGATCCTGATGGCGCGACCGTTCCCAATCTTGAAGACATGTGAGGATTTCAATCATTTTTTTGTGAAAGTTTAGTCCTCATTTCATTTAAAATTCTTCCAGTTGCACTAAATGTTTGTTCGGATGAGACGGTTGAGACAAGAACTAAGACATCAAAGTTGACTCTTTATTGTGGATCTGCTAGAGCACGTCAGGGGTTCCCAAATATTGGTGAAGCTCATTATTCTGTAGCTGCATGGAGGACAATACATTCGTTGTTGATGTTTCTGAAGAAGAGGTTATGCTTCGGGTTCGGGTCCTCTTTGGCCTATTAAGTGCACTCTAGGAGTCGAATTCTTTATTTGTTTCTTCTGATGCTACTTCTTCGGGTATTTCACCTCTTCACTGGTTCCCATACATGTTTTCATATTGCAAATATACATCTGCAAGACACTCTTTTATCTCTCCTAGTTGATTGGGATATGCTTCGTCTCATAAATTTTCACTTAACGTGTCTAAACCATTTTCTAAGCGCACTAATTTAATTCTAGGATTAAATATGGCAGCTACCAATAAAGAAAATGAATGGGTTTCCAATATTTTTTAAATTTTAATTCCATTGCCTCTATTGGTCCCACTAAAATTTCATTGTTTCTATTTTTTTTTTTAAAATAAATCTGAAATTCTTATAATTGTATGTATTAGTAATGGACTAGTAGAATAATACATACCAGAAAATTGTAAGGTGGATTAATAAAACATTTTAAGAAAAGAATGAAATTTTTGAGTTATATGTCAATCACTATCTATCAAATAACGAGGACCCCTATTATTTGCTATAAGATAACTAATTAAATTTGCATAAAGTAAACATGAATCAAACATTAAATAAGTATTATTCCATCTAAAAATCATGTCTAATGCCAAAGTTTTAGGAGACATATTTGATTTTATACAAGCATCTTGAAATTCAACATTTCTTCTATTACTATTAGTAATCCAAGCTAAAGAATCTCCTAATCCTATCAATTTATTTCTAATTTTTTTCATACCACTTTTCACAATTAAATTAATAATGTGACATGCACAACCTTGGTGAAAAAACTTCAAATTGTCATAAAAAGGAAAATTTATTTGAAAAAAATTTATAGCTTTACTATTAGCACTTGTATTATCTAAAGTTAAACTTATCACTTTGTGAACAATATCATAATCTTCTAAAACTTCAACAATTTTATTATAAATTTATTAAACACTATGATACACATAAATTAATCTAAATCCCAATAAAGATTTATTTAATTTACATTCGTTATCAAAATAATGACTAGTCACACAAATATAATCTTGTTTAGCTCTACCAGTACTCCAAATATCAGTGGTTAGAGTTACACTAACATGACAACTATGTATTTTATTTTTTAATTCTAATTTCATTTTCCTAAACAATTTTATTAAATCATTTCTAGTTGCAGCTTTAGAATAACTTTTAAATCCTGAAGAAAATATGAATTTTTAATAAATCTTTCAAAATATTATCTTCAGTCATATTAATAGGTTGATCAGTTGTATCAATATATAAAGCTAATTATTCCCTATATACATTAGAATTACAATGCCAAGTAGTACCCATATTAGTTATTTGAGTTTGATTGGTTTCTTTATTTCCATGTTGAGTAATATGTTTATTACCATGCCTTTTTAAAGTACTAGTACCATTACTTGCATCAATTTTATAAATATTTCCACAATACTTGCATCTTGTTTTCTTCACTTGAACTTCATTTTCCGTCTTGTAAAACTTGTCGAAATGGGCCCAAACATCTAATGTGTGTCTATCGTTGATTTCGACTGCAGTTGATAAACCCGCTTATGTTTGAGATGGAGTTGGACGAGGACGACGATTACGAGGAAAACTTCTAGAACCACCGGGAGCAGGACTATTTGAATCTACTACGTTTACATTAGTAAATTCAAGGGGACTATGATAATTTCCTTCATCATCAAAATTGATGGGATGAAATATCTATCCATTTTAGTTGAAAAAAAATGGATATAGAAGAAATAAAGAATTAAAGAAGGAGAATTGGAATTTGAAAATATGAATTGAAAATTGCAAAAACTAATAAAAATTAAAATGAGAGCAAATTGACAACAAAGAGAATAATTGAGAGATTTCAATAGAGAAAATGAGAGAAAGAGAATGAGAGAATTTGGGATGTGAGGAAATATGAGAGTTTAGACCCTATTTATGGAAAAAAAATGACCAAAAAGACCCCTCCAATTGCTATAAAAACGGCTATAATTTAAGGGTAAAATAGGTATTTGTAAAAATAATAATAATAATAATAATTTAATTTTTTTGTCCAACCCGGCAGGTTGAACGAGTTCTTTTTTTTTTTTTTTTTAAAAAAATATACATACATATATATATGTATGTATATATAACCCGCCAAGTTGCTGGGTTGGCCTATGAAGGCCCAACTCGCTTGACTGGGTATATGCAGGCTGGGTTGAACCCAAATTGATGCGATTGAAACAAAAGAAATAGGAAAATCCAAACTCTTGCTGCTGTCATTGAACAAATCTTACCAAGAAAAAGAAAATATCCCAATGAAATCTACTTTATTTGTCTTTTCCATCTTCAAATACAGTTTGATGAAACACAATAAAAAGAAAAATAAGAAAGTTTTTGGTTAAAGTGTTCTACGAACGTAAAGCACAAAGACCAAACCTTTTTAGGTTTAGGGTTTGTCGGATGTCGTTGTCTCCAGTATTAGGCCAGGTGACTTTCCCTTTTATTGATTTTTTGTTATTCATAGGGAGGGGTTGTCAGAGTTCATTAATTTTTTATTATTGATTGTTAGTGGGTGGGTGTGTTGTTTCTTTCATTGTTAAATACTGATTGTCAGTAGGTAGGGTGTGTTGTTTATTTCATTGTAAAATACTGATTGTCAGTGGGTGGGGTGAAAATAGCCAACTATTAGTTTCTATTACTTTTGTCTTCGATTGAATACCCAAGCAAACTTTTTTACTTTGTTTTGTTTTAGTGCTATGATTAAAGAGGTGGAAGAGTGGGTAGGACCATAGCAGAATTTGAAGTTTTCAGGATAAAGACAAGAGCAGGAGGTGAGTTGTCACTATTTTTTATTCTCTAGTTTGAAAAGTTGTGTTGACTGTTTCACTCTTGATGCACATGTTTTTGATATTGTTGGTGGTCCCTATAATTTAAGTTTGTCTGCAAATTAGGTTTGCCATTGAATTGAGGGTATAAATGCATATTGTATTGGGGATAATGGATTTGAACAGGGTATTCAAGGGCAAGAGGGTAATTTTACTGAGGGTGATTGTGATATAGAGGAGAATGATCTAAGAATTAAGGGTGGTAAGGAGAGTGGGAATGGAAGCTCAGATGGTGATAGTGATAGGGATTTTGAGGTTGAGGAGCTAGCTTATGACTCTGATTTTAAGCTTCAAGAGTATAGAAAATTTGTGAGAGAGTTCAAGGCAAAAAGAAAGGCTGCGAAAACAACAAGAGTACAAGAGCTGAATGATAAAGAGGAGAAAGATCTTAATGAGGAAGGTGTAGAATCTAAAGTTAATATAGGTGATGATGGTGGAGAGTACTATAGTTCAGATGTTGGTAGCTTTATATCATCAAGTGAGGGGAAGGAAGATGAAGTTGAGCATGGTAAAAGAAAGCCTAGGAAAATTGTTGCTATGATCCTAAATGTTCCTTCCCAAAATTCCATGTAAACCTAACCTTTGATAACCCAAAACAGTTCAAGGATGCAGTGATAAAATATTATGTCAAAAGGAGAGTTTAGACTAGGTTTAGCATATGCAAACAGTAGAAGCTTGGTGTCAAGTGTAGTGTTACAAATTGTCCCTTTTATGTTTATGCATCATATGAGCAGAATTCTGGTAAGTTCATTGTCAAAACTTGCAATGAAACACATACATGTCTTATGACCTACAGTAATAGGAAAGTGACATCCACAATTATAGCAAATCACTTTTTGAGTAGGGTAAAGATAACTTTTGGTATTAGACTAAGAGAACTAAAACAATTAGTTAAGGAAGAATTAAAGGTTGATGTGCAACTATCTAAGTGTGGAAGGGCTAAACATAAAATGATTGAAATGATGAATGGGGACATTGATTATGAATATGGACTTTGGGATTATGTAGTTGAGATGCATAGGTCTAATCTAGGTAGTACAATGAAGTTGTTGCAATCTACCGCAGATGACTCTAACCTACAATTTAAGAGGTTGTATGCATGCTTTGATGCATTAAAGAAAGGCTAATGGAGGTGTGTAAACCTTTAATTGAGTTAGATGGTTGCTTCTTGAAGGGAAAATGTAAGGGTGAACTTTTGGTTGCTGTTGCTAGGGGTTTGATAATCCGTGAATTATACAGTTTTTATTAGACCTTTTTGTCGGATTTCAGGTACTTTCTAGTGCATTTTGACCTAAATCGTTGCTTAATTCTCTACTTTTCGTGTTCAGGTTAAAATGGGCATTTTGAGCAAATAAGGACAAAATTTGATATTTTTGACTTAGAAATTAGCGGATCTCAGAAGATAGGAGAGTTCCAGAGCAGGATAAAGCATGATGAAGCTTGTTCCCAAGGGAGAGCACCGAGAATCGAAGAATCAAACGAAGAAGCAAGCAGAGTGGCAGTTCTGTAATTTCAGAACTTTTCAAGAAGCTTCGCCGCGGCGAAGTAAGCCAGGGACGAACGTTTCTGCTTCACTCTTCGCCGCGGCGACAGTCATTATTTTCAGTTTTGTTAAATGCACAGTTTCGTTTTGTGCGTGTTTTGGCTGGGTTATTTGGACTAGGTATAAAAGAAAAACTTAGCCTTTGGCCCAGGGGTCTTCATCTTTTTAGGGTTAGCTACTTTTGCATTTTTCTTAGTAAAACTTTGAGCGATTTGGTTTGTTTAAAGGAGAAGATTCGATTCTGACTAAGGGATTCAACTTTTGGGGAGATTTCTTCTTTTATCTCAGTTTCATTATGCTAAACTTGATTATTTCCATTTTAGGTTTTTGTAATATTGATTTAGCTATGAACTAATCTATTTTGGGTTAGGGTTTTGATGGTAGTTTGGATTTTAAATGGGTTAAGTGTTTGATTGTGTTATTTTCATATGAATATGCTTTGGTTGTGTGTTACTCTGATTTTTAATGCAGTATGTGATGAACATGATGAGATTGAGAAATGAATCATGTTAGGCTTCTTGGGTAATCACCATTATAGTATTGGATGCTAGAGANTTTCTCCTTGTTTCCCTTGCAAGCTAGTAAAAAGCATACAAATTTTCTCTTTCTTTCCTTCTTTCTCCTTTTTTTCCTATTTTCTTTTTCTTTCTTTCATTCCTTATCCTTGTTTCCCCTGCACTCTCCACCAACTCTGATTTCTTTCCTCTTTTCTCTTTGTTTCCCAACACTCTCCACCACATCGGACGCCCACAACTTAAAATGGTTTGGTTTGGTTTGGTTTTAGGGGAAAGGATTTTAGTTGCCTATTCTGGATTTTAAATTAGGGTGTTCTTTGTCATTTTTGCAAACTTTGTGTTTTCAAAATTTTGTTTAACCCCCTATACTTAATAAAACTCCTAAATGCCCCTAATAATTAGAACCAGGCTCAGCTCGCGAGCCTAACGAGCCGAGCCGAGTCGAGGCAGGCTCGAACTCGGCTCATACTCTCTCATGAATCGAGCTGAGCCGACTCGATTTCAAATGAGGCAAGCCGTTAACGAGCCGTACTCGAGCTGAGCGGAGTTGGTTGTCGAGCGGCTTGGCTCGTTGAACAGCCCTAGTCAAGAGCTTACAGTAGAGAGAAAGAGAAGAAGAAATAGGTCTCGTTGTTGCAACAGCCAACCCGTGAGTCAACCCGACGGGTTGGCGGTCTTTTCTAAAAAAGGACAAAATAGCAACTTGCGGGTCCATATATCAACCCGGTCCATCGGGGGGTTGCATGCGGGTTGGGTTTAACCCAACCCGTCTTAATGGCGGTCCGGGTTGAACCCTCTTTAATGCGGGTTGGGTTAGGATTGACTTGCCTAATCTGACCCATTTGTTTCACCACTAGTATCCATCCGCCTTGGTTGTAATCAGGGTACTTGCAATTTATTATTGATACTAAATTTTAATATCACTGGTTACATAACAATGGGTATGTTGCTCAGAGGGTAGAACGCTCGCTTAGCATGCAAGAGGTACCGAGATCGATACCCCGCATTCCAACTTTATTTTATTTACTGCAATATATATATTTTTTTATTTTTCTCTTTTGGCGTTGCATTGCATTTGCATATCACCAACTAACAGAAGNAATTTGCTCCCACCAATCCAAAGAATTCGATTGCTTCAACTTGATAACATTAGGAAACTTAGTGCTTTGCTAACAATCCTCATGGGAACGATACTCTACTCATCATTTTATTACTTGAGCGACTAGTATACTTGCTACATTTTGCATGTTGTAAGAAAACACGTATCAGGGTCCCTATAGCCAAATGTATCCACTTGCATGGGCCTTTGTGGAAGGTGAGAATAGGAGCAGTTGGACTTGGTTCATGACTCTTCTGAAGGATGATATTGAGGCTGCAGATGGAAGAGGGCTGACTATTATATCTGATCAACAGAAGGTAATATTATTACATATTTTTTTACCTCTAATGCTAAATTTTGTGCCATATTTTCATGTTTAGGGTGTATTGTTTTAAGATTTTGTTCAGGTTTTGAGCAAAGTAAAGAAGAAAAAGTGAATATTCAGGATTTTAGCTGCTAATAGGTCAACTTTGGCTGTGAAACTACACTAGTTGGGCCAGATGAAAAATCTAGAAAAAATTATTGTTGAAAGCCCTATGTATCTAGTTTCACACGCTTCATGTAGTTCGTGAATCGGAGTTTTCTAGATGAAGTTATGACCATTTAAGCGAAGGTCCAGAATTGACTGTCTGACCTTCCTTCACTTAAACGGCAATTACGTCCTCCAGAAAAGTCCGATTCATGACCTGTTTGAATATAGTGAATCTAGACACATAGGGCTTTCAACCATAATTTTTTCAGATTTTTTGTCCAGCCCAATGAGTGCAGATTTTTTCAGATTCCATGACTCGTTTATATTTGGTAGATGTATTATTTGGTGAATGTGCTGGCAGTGATTGAAGTTCATATAACCGCTAGTGCTTGTTTGCTTAATTCTCTGAATTGCTTCAATCTGTAATTAGTTAGTTAAAAGTGTATTAGTGCTTGGATTCTTCTGTTTTTTATACCTCTTAATGTTTTGTATAAGATTTAATTGATTCTTACATTGAAACTAATACACCTGATTTTAAGATGTATTATTTCATTTTACGTTAAAATCTACCTGGTTTTTACTATTTGTAATGCAGGGGCTAGTACCCACTATGGATAGGCATGGCAATGTTCCTCGGACTTCCAAGGACCCATCCTGCCCCACCCCATATGGGGCGAGGGTGGGGGCGTTTTAATCCCCGTTCCCAGGGATGGGCCGAGGATGGGTGATGCCTTTCCCCCGCCCCATCCCGCCTCGTATATAATATATAATATATAAAATTAAAAATTAAAAATTATATGTAATTATATATATATGTACACACACACACTTTTCACTAATACTAATATAGTTCACCTAATTACACAATTATTCTACCTATATAAACTCATATTTTCTCAATTTGCCTAACCCTAAACAATTGAACAAGAACAAACCCTAACCCATATTTATGTAAAATTAACTATGCTTAAACGATTAATTTAAGTGTTTGTCATGTGGACGAGAATTAACTATGTTTAAGCGATTAATTTAAGTGTTTGTCATGCAGACGAGAATTAACTATTGTGTTTGGTAATGTTCAAATTAATTTATGTTTATGTAAAATTAACGGGGCGAGGACGAGCCTCCAACATTCCCCTTCCGCTGTGGGGCAGGGAAGGGGAATTCCTATCATCCCCATAACGGGGATGGGAAGGGGGTGTGGAGTGATTTTGAGGGCGGGGATGGTTACAATGAATGAGATCCCCGCCCCGCCTGGCCCCATTGCCATGCCTAACTGAGGAGGCATTATTGCCTTTTACAAAACATAGGTTCTGTGCAAGGCATGTTTTTGCAAATTGGAGGAAAGAGCACAAAGGGAGGAGGCTTCAATCAATTGTTTTGGAAGTGTGTAAAGTCAATGATAGTCCACCAATTACATCAAGCTCAAAAGGAATTGGATAAAAAAAGATTCACAAGTTAAGACTGATCTCCTTAAGGTTGATCCATGCTATTGGTCTAAGGCATATTTCAACACTTATTCAAAGTGTGATATGGTGGACAATAATCTATGTGAGGCATTCAACCATTCCATAATTGAGGCAAGGTATATGTCTATATTAGTATGTTTGAGGACATCTGGATTAGAATCGTGAACATAATAACTAAAAAAGAGAGAGGGTTAGTAAGTGGGTGGGTGAGTTTCTTGACAAAATCATGAAAATGTTGGATGAATATAAGAAAGAGAGTGCTTATTGCCATTTGGTTGCACAAGGAAAAAATGGGTTTAAAGTCAGACACAATGGTCAGAAGTAAGTGGTTAATTTATTAACACAGGAATGTGCATGTGGGTTATGGCAAGTGAGTGGCATTCCTTGTCCTCATGTCATGTGTGCATTGTACATTAGAGAGGAGAGAATTTAGGATTTTGTGTCAGAGTGGTACAGAAAAGGGAGATACTTCAAGCTAAATGACAATGTAACAAAGCCTTTAAATGGTGATTTACTTTGGCCAATGATAGGCAAACAATCTATCTTACCTCTTGAGTCCAAGAAACTACCTGGTAGACCAAAAAAGAATAGAAGGAAAGAGCTGGATGAGAGAACAATAATAACAAAAAGGTCAAGGAATGGTAGAATTATGACATGCAATGTCTGTAAGGTTATTGGACACAATGCAAGAACATGTGCAAAGGTTAGTTTCCATATTTTAAACTGCATATTGTAAACTCTAAATGTGAGGTTAAAATAGTCTAACATTTCTATTATTTTCTCAAAAAAATTCATCTCAGTCTGAAGCATCAACAGTTGATAATGTCAATTCTCAAAGGGACAGCAGTGCAAGACAAAAAACCAAACAACAACATAAGGGATCAAGAAAGATAAGGCATAAGAAAACTCCAATGGCGGGATATGGTGTGTACATCGATACAAACACTGGCATGCTTACCTACAATGGACTTACACACTTATACAAATCTAAATTTTCAAGTCAACTATTACAATACAATGATTTTGATGAAACCCTCTTCTTTTTTTTCTTTTTTGCTTTTTTGCCACTTATTCAGTTAGGAACACCACACAGTTACGTGATTAGATGGATGATGGGAGATGAACATTTAGTTGGGTCAAGTTAGATAGCAAGCAATAACACTGCCCATGGGAATGACCATGTTTCACAAAGTTCAAGGATGCAGTGAAGAAGATGTATGACATCCAGACCAAGAAAGTGAACATCTTAATTAGGTAAATTCTATGGGCTGTATGTTCTAATTATTGAGGAAGTTTTGGAGCATACACCATAAAGTTGGCACATTAACACTAAAAGAATTGCGATTAACTACCTGCTGAAGAGATGAAATGATAAAATAAACCACATTTGACACAAGAATTGTTGAACAGATTGAGACATAATGGGATTGATAAATGTATAAGTCTCATGTCTTCATTTTTTACATATCCTTTGCATATTGTTTATAGCTTTCTACTTTATCTTTAATTGGGCACTAGAACATCTATATATTTCTATTGAATTGAAAACTAATTGTATTATTTGTGTTGTAGGCCTAATGGAATTATGATGTCTTGGATGTGGCAGACAAGATTGGAATTATCTACCAAATATGTACGGTTGACAATTTCGTTAGCACTCCAATATCATTTTGGTTATCTTTAAATGTGTTGGGATCTATCTTTTTAGTTCAACTTTGCATGAGGTGCTTCATTAAGATTTAAATGATTAAGATTTATGTATTAGTGTTGCTATTTCACATATTTTGGAACTTCGGTTACAAAGGTTGTTTCGGATGATGTGATAGGTTAGATAATTGAGCATTGATTAATTGCTAGATTGCCATGGCCAATTTGATTAATCTCACTTAACTTCTTTCTGGATCATTACTAGATTTCTATAGCCAATTTGATTAATTTCTGGATTATTTAGGTGCAAAGATTTTTATCAACAAATAGAAGGTAATTAATAAGCAAATTGCAACTAGGTGGGCAATAATACAAATTTATATAAACATTTGGAACACGGTTTTCTTTTTAATTAAAATACAGGAAGTGGAAAGAAAGTTAAAAAATTGGTTAAAAGGATAAAAAACTTAAAAATTGGTGATTGTTTGTTTATGCAATTTAGGTGGGTTTTAATTAGGATAAGTTTTCATTATGAGTAAGTTTTATTTATTCTGTGTGGTTTTTGTGGTTGTTATTGAAATAATAATAAAAAATGGGTTAATTTAAGATTTTTTAGATTATAAATATCTAAGTCAACCTTAATTGCCACGTCAATACACTAAAATTGTCATGTCAACAATTTTTTACGAAAAAAATATCATGTCATTAATATTTAATGTGCTAGAAAAAAATATGAAAGTTTGGTACCTTTAATAGAAAAAACTTAAAGTTTGGTATCTTCGATAGAAATAATTTATAGTTTGGTACCTTCAACATGAAAAAAAAATAGTTTGATATCTTCAATAGTAAAAAAGTAATAGTTTAATACCTTATTAAGCCTGTAATATATATTAATAATATGAAAATGTACAAATTTAGATAAGTCATAGCCCAAATATATAATTGTTACAATAATGTTCTAATTTTGTGGATGATTATTGATAAGATTGCAAACAAAGGAACATATATTTAATTTTTTTAAAGAAATGATATTATGCTATTGTGATTATATTTATACATTTATATAATTACTTAATATATATGTTATATATATTCCTGCAAATAAAAAATTTGGGTCCAAAAATAAATAGCGTAAAAGAAAAACCATAATCAACAATCCCTGAATTCCCCACGGGTCGAGCTCGGCGATTCCCTTACATCCTCAACTCAGGGACGGCTAGGTTTGGGGAATCCCCTTGGGCCCTCGGGCCGAGCTTCGAGACAAGGATCCCCGACCCAACCCATGCCCATCCCTAGATCTAGAGCTGGCGATGGGCCATGCCAGCCCACGTACCGACATGACCCAACTAAAAAAAAAGAACGGCACAACAAGGCCCACGATCATGCAAGTCATGTCATCGGCCTTAAAAAAATGCATGTGGGTTGGCACAACACGGCCCACTAAAAAAAATTAAAAAAATATATTATACATTGTCATTAATTTCTTTAAATATTTGTAAACCATAATCAAAGTTGAGATAGTTGTATTGTATTTGTGTACTTATATTTCTTATGGAGACATAGTTGTTAATGTTAATTCTTAATCATAATTTTTAAGTTTGTATTTATAATTTATTACTATAACTCATAAGTAATAAAAAGTGTTAAAATTCAATTAATATTTCAATGTCTCCTTATTTTATTATATTTCATAGTAATTATATTTTTTTTAATTAATACTAATATAAAATATCACTAAATATAACATATAAAATATTTTATAATAATTATTAATAATAAATCAAAATTATCAAAATTTTAAAATATTAAAAAAATTATAGGTCGGCCCACAAAGCACACGGACTGGCCCATGTGCTAGGCCCACGACATGACACACTATATAACAGGTCGTGTCGTGGGCCTTTAGATTTGGCGGGTTAGCATGGCACGACAAGGCAAAAATTTATGCGGGCCTTAGCACAGCGCAACCCACAACATGACGGGCCTTAAATTTTTAGGCACGACACGGCCCAACGCTGACTCTACTTAGATCCATTTCATTTCTGCAGTTAAGTATTTACCTAATTATATAACAAACAAATTTAAACATGCAGCTCCATTATGTAACCCAAAAGACAGCACTTGGTCAGAATTGATAATCACTTGTCAACCTAGATAAATTCTGTTGGATTCAGCACCTTTCCCACCTTTCTTTCTTTCCTGTTAACTACCTTTTTCTCGTTTGCTCACTTAATTTTTTTTTTTTCTTTTTTTTTTTTTCTTGAAAATGATGAAATTAGAAATATATTTCCCCTTTTGCGGCTGTCAGTCATGGACATGGGAAGGATGAATGCAGAGAGCAGATGCAAGTACAACAGGAGACAGATCCTCAGGCAAAATTTATTCTCCATTGAAATGAATACCGCAACATAGCAACTGAAGTTCTAGGTTGAGACCATGACCTGTCAACAATATGCTTAGTTTCTATCTTTCCATTTCAATTGTGCTACATCCAGCTTCCTTCATCATCTTAGCACCCTTGTTTCTGATCGACATAATACCACCAACTTGTTTATTAGTCCACTCTTCTTTTTTTTCCAGTATCATTGTTTGATCAGGCAACATTCCAGCAATGGCATAAGTACTAGAGACCAGGATTGAATTAGTGGGGTGTTCATCATTAATCTCCAGCAAGACACATTCTCCCAATTTAACGTTTCCATAGACCCGACAAGCTGACAGCAATGCACGCCATGCAGTGGCATCAACCTTAATCGGCAAGCTTTTAATTAGATTATACGCTTCCTCTAGTAATCCTGCACGACCTAGAAGATCAACTAAACATCCATAATGTTCAATTTTTGGTGCAATACCATATTCCACAACCATTTTCTCAAAACAATTCATTCCTTCTATAACTAGACCTCCATGGCTACAAGAGCTTAGAACAGCCAAGAAAGTAACATTATTAGGTCTGAATCCTTCATCTGCCATCTTATAGAAGAGATTAACAGCATCCCTTGCCTGGCCATGAACCCCATAACCAAAAATCATCGTTGTCCAACATTTCACATCTTTGTTCTTCATACTCCGAAAAATATTAATAGCCTTATCTAATACCCCGCATTTGGCATACATATCAATCAAAGCTGTCCCGAGATTCACATCCAACACCAACACCTCCTCTTCTACATACTCATAAATGCATTGGCCCAAACTCAAAGATCCAGAGACAGCACAGGCTGATAACAATCCAACCAATGAAGATGAATTAGCCTTCACTTGTGCAAGTTTCATTAGCCGTAATAGAGCTATGGATCCCTCTAGCAACCCAACTTTTGCATACTTATCGATCATACAGTTCCACAAAATAACATCCTTTTCCCTAACCTCATCAAAAATCCTACGACCTGAATCAATATCTCCAAGTTTTGCATAAAAATCAATCAAAGCAGTAACCACATTCAAATCTAAATTAAAGCTAAACTTGATGCAAAGCGCGTGAAGAGACTCTCCTCCACATAAATATCCTAAGTCACCAACAGCACACAAAATATTTAACATAGTACTGGAACTAACCCTCAACTCTCTCCTACAAATTTGCCTAAATAAATCCACCACTGCTGTAGGTTGAGAGACATTAAAATAGCCACCCATCAAAGTGTTCCACGTGACCAAATCATTTTTTTTAGGAAATTCATCAAGCAACTTGTGGGCATCACCAATTTTCCCAGAAACGCAATAAAAATGCAAAAGGGTATTCTTAACATTTATAAACAACATATACCCAGATTTCAAGACAAGCCCATGAATCATCAGGCCGATCATAATAGCCAATTCACGAGCACAAGCTTTGAGAGTTGCAATGTAAGAGAACTGGTCAAGCACAAGACTTTGAGCCCTCAAGTTATTGAAAACAGTAAAAGCCTGCTTTGGGTCATCACTGCTTGAATATCCTCGGAGCATGGTGTTAAACATGAAAAGATTTGGGTTCTGAATGTGCTTAAAGATGGAGGCTGCATATTCTATGTTTTGTACGGAAGATGCAAGAAGCTTACTCAAAGTGAAGGGGTTTCGGTCAAGTCCAGTCTTGAGCATATAGCCATGAATTTGAGAGATTTCAGTAATTTGTTGGGCTGATTTCAATAAAGAAATGAGGTTTTCAGAGTCTAAGTCGAGATTTTTGGGCCAAATTCTCAAGCTTTTGCTCAGGCGTAAGCTGGCGTTGGCTAAGTTCATAGGCCAGAGTCGAGGGCTTTTTGCGGCAAATTTTCTATCGCAATTTTGTGTCGGCCTTCAACAAATAGCAAGGTCTCGTTTAGGGATTTTTTTTATTATTATCATTTATTTATTTATTTCAAAGAATGAACTCTTAGATAATTTTTTGCATTTCTGAATTCTGAATGCACTTTTTTTTACGAAAATAATGTTTTTCAAAATGAAATTAGAAACGGAATATTTTAATTTAAAATAGAAAACCAAAACTAAAAGTGATATTTTACATGACCAAATATTGACCAAACTCATATATTTACCAAATATGTCCAAACAAGCAAAAAACTCATTATCTGTTTATTTATACAATCTTAAGAGCATCTCCAATAGTGTTCTTTAAAATAAATAGTATATTTCATATAAATAAAGAACATCTTCGTTAATTTTTAAATATAAAAAATAAATTTTTTATTCAAATATAATAAATCTTTAAATTTTAAGAGGGAGAATATGTTTTTTCAATAAAAAAAAACGTAATAGAAGAAATAAATAGTAAATAAAATGCATAGAAACTTGTAATTTATTATTTAAAATTAGGATAAAGAGTGAAATTTGACTCTCTGATGTGGAGAGTCAAACTCGCTCTTTAATTTATATTTAAAGAATAAAGAGTAAAAGCATCTCTAAATGACCTAAACTCTTTATTATAAAGAGTTTATCCATAAAAACAAGAATCCACTATACTCTTTATCTTTAAAATATAAATTAGAGAGTGAGTTTAACGCTCCACATTTAGAGAGTCAAATTTCACTCTCTATCCTAATTTTAATTAATAAACTACAAGTTCCTATACATTTTATTTATTAATTCTCTCTCCCATCAAGTCTCTTTCTTAAAAATAAAGAGTATCTTCATTAAATTTAAAGAGTCTATTGGATTTGAATAAAAATTGTGTTCTTTATATTTTAAAATTAATGAAGATACTCTTCAAAATAAAGAGCATCATCGGAGATGCTCTTAGACTCTTATTTTTATTGATAAACTCTTTATAATAAAGAGTTTGAGTCATATAAAGAGTCATTTAGAGATATTCTAAACTCTTTATTATAAAGAGTTTATCCATAGAAACAAAGTTCAACACACTGTTTATTCTTTAAATATAAATTAAAGAATGAGTTTGACTCTCTACATTTAGAGAGTCAAATTTCACTCTCTATTTTAATTTTAAATAATAAATTACAAATTTCTATGCATTTTATTTATAATTTATCTCTTTGTTAGGGCCAAAAAATGTCCTTGGCCCAAATAGGCCCAAAAACGAAGACACCTTCAACAAAGCTGGAAGCCAAAGCCCAATTTCGACTAGGCCCGCAACCAAGTTTACATATTAGGTCTGTTCGGCTCACCCACCCAGCTGCCTACCATCTATACCCAATCAGCAGAGGCCCAATTCGCTTAGGCCTCATCGCCAGGTTATTTGGGCCCAAGCCTTTTGATCCTAGACCACCTTTTGGACTTAGGATCCACTTGGAGCCTATGGTCATCTACGTACCCTGATACTATCCGATCTCTACTAAAGAGGTCCATCACTACCTTAATTCTTCTAAGATCTGTGTCTTAGACACGCTGGGACTCCCTTTCCTACTGAGGTAAGGAAGCCAAAGGTTCTCCTTTTTCACAAAACCTCAACTCCAAGGACTCCCAATCCCATTAGGATTTGAAGATCCCGCAATTGCTATTTAAACAAAGGCCAACCCTTTCACAAGGGACAAACATTACACCTTCAAACCTCGCAGTTCCCACTCTTGAGAACTTCGCATTACAGTCGTAGTTATAGTCTCCGACTAGACTACTGGTAACCTTTTCTCTCCCCGACCTCACTAAATTAACCTCACTTAGTCTTGCTGACTTAAGCGTCAGAGTGCATACAGCGAACACCACCCCGGAGTTTTTCGTCCGCTTCACGCTTGTTTTATCACGTGTGCAGGTACAATAGATTGCTAGTGGCCTCAACCTCACGGGATTAGTCCCTATTTTCAAAAAGGTAGATTTTTGCATCTATAGTTTGGCGCCTACCGTAGGGCCTCTAGAAATCATTCCTCTCTCGGACTCTACTTCGTAAAGACACTCTTTATCGCTGAAAATTCTGATTACACTAATCCCAGCCTTAAGGCCAGACTGGAAGCTCTAACTACCCTTATGCAACAGCACTCAAACAAGGTGACCGCATTGGAAGCTGAGAACACTTCCATCCGAATTGAAAACGCCTCCATCAGGGTCGAAAACCAATCTCTAAAAGAGAAGGTAAGCCAATTTTATGATCTTGAGCTTCTACCTTGTCAGGTACAACCCAATCGATTTCGTACATCAATTCTATCCATGCAACCTCTCCAAACTCTAGAGCACAGACCAACGATCTCGAATACGAGGTCGCGCCAACTTTATTCATCACTAGTGGACGATTCAGCCCTGAATCATATTGAGTGGGGGTTGCCAATAGAGCCACTCTCGGTCGACTCGCTTCAAGCACGAGATCAAGACATCTAAGTAACAAAGAGCCCACCACAACAAGAGCCACCCATCCTTGCCATCCCGTCTCATCTTTAATCAACCATCCCTACCCAAACCCCACTCGGCTCGACTCGACTCATCCTCGCAGGTCAAGCAGGCTCCCTCACCTTCAAACCATTCCGCTTGAGTCCATCCATCCCCACCGACCGAGCGACTCTAAAATAACCCCTCTCACCATCCATGCGGGGCGAAACACCCAATCAGTCACAATGGGAGCCACCCAATCGGAGGGAGTGAATGGAGATCCGGGCTACCAAGCGACACATGATGGAATGATTCGTCAGGCTACACCACGTGACTTGACCCAACGAAACGCACCGAGTGTGAATCATATGAAAAACCAAGTCAACCAAGACGACCTAGTGGTCTCCGCCTCGCCCATGGAGCATATATTGGCCAAAAGACTGGCTGACATAGAGGCAATGATGAGCCGTGTACCTGGAGTGCCAATCCCAACCAAAAAGAGCAAGCCTCACTATTATGCCGATTCACCCTTTGTGGATGCAATCGCGCTGGTCGAGATGCCTCACAAATTCACCATCCCTAGCATGAAGCCTTGTGATGGCACAACTAACCCAGATGGCCACATAGCCTCATGCAAGCAGCGAATGTTTGCCGCCTCAATACCCTGAACAATGAGAGAAGCCTGCATGTGTAAGAGCTTCGGCTCAAGCCTCTCCGGACTAGCTCTTCAGTGGTATACTAACCTTCCAAACAATTCAATTAGCTCATTCACCCAACTCACCGACACCTTCGTTGAATAATATGCTAGCAGTAAGAAACTCGAGAAGCTATTGGCCGACCTATACAAAGTCTACTAGAAGAAGGAGGAGCCACTGAGAGAGTACGTTAGCAGATTCAACAAAGAAAAAATCTCCATCCCATCTTGCAACCCAGAGATGGTGGTAGATGCTTTCAAAAAGGGTCTCCTCGTAGATGGAGAACTATACAAAGACCTGATGAAGCTCAGCTTCACCACAATGGAAGACGCTCTAGCCAGAGCTGTGATTCAAATCAGGTGGGAGGAATATGAGATGAATCGGATGAGGCATGCCAGATATGATGACCGTCACCAAAGGCGGAATGATAGAAGGTCAGAGTCCAGATCTTTTGAGCCCCGTTATCAACCCCCTCCCGTAATCTAAACAGAGTCAAAAAACCATATGACCGTCGACCAACTAGAGCCGACAACAAACCATCTAGATCGAACCAATTCAAAGTTCCAAAGTACAACATTAACGTCGAACCAGCCCAGGTTGTGGCAATCATGAAAGGAACGGGACATACCGTTAAGTGGCCAGCCAAGCTCAATCCCGAAGCGAAGAGGGACACGACTAAGTGGTATGAATTTCACGATGACCATGGTCATAACAGTGCGGATTGCATCGCCGTAAGGTTGGAAGTCACAGCACTACGGAAAATGGGACATCTCCGAGACCTATTGACGGATAAAGGGAAGAATACAGTCAGCCAGAGAAGCTCGAAGGAAACATCTCCCCCTCCACGGGAACCTACACCAAAGGGGTTTTGCTCCATTATCTCTGGAGGGTCAAATATTAATGGGGTAAGCTATTCCTTGGCCAAACGCTACGCCCGAGCCAACCATCACCTTGATGTCCAATCCATCCATCTGTCCCCTTAGTTGCACACCAACCAGGTAATTCAGTTTGAAGATAATGAGCCAGTCACCTTGTCGCCCCTCATCACGATGCTCTGGTCATCTCCCTCTGGATCACCAACATTTTGGTCAAAATAGTATTCGTAGACGGGGGATCCTCGGCAAACATCGTCTTCCTTGAAGCAATGAAGGCTATGGGACTGGATAAAACAAACATCAACAGATGACCAACCATACTAGTCGGGTTAAGTTCCGAGCAGAAGTACACCATCAGAGAAATTACCTTGCTTGTCTACACCAGCAGAGTTAACAAGCAAACCATTTTCTTATTGCTCGATTGTCCCTCTCCATACAACATCATCGTGGGTCAGCCTTGGATCCATAACATGCAAGCTATTCCATCTACCTTCCACCAAACTATAAGGTTTCTAACAAAATGTGAAGTAAGAGAAATCAAGGGCTATCCTAAAGCTTCAAGAGACTGCTACAAAAACGTATTCAAAAGCAAAGGCCATGCCTCATAGCAACTACAGTCCCATCCAACCCCTTCGACCAGGCCAGACAACCATCCATGGAAGAGTTGGATGAAGTACAGATACACCCGGATCACCCTGACCGGAAGACCTAGATAGGCTCTCGCCTCGGGCCAGAGATAAGAGAGTGACTCATAGAATTCCTCAAACAAAACCAAGACTGTTTCCCCTGGTCCCACGCAGACATGACATGAGTCAGCCCCGAGGCAATCATCCACCATCTCCAAGTAGATCCGAACCACCCTCCAGTGAAGCAAAGGCGAAGGAAGTTCGCACCAGAACACAACCGGATTGTCAATGAGGAGATCGATAAACTACTGAATAACTGGCTGATCAGAGAAGTCC